GTTATATTTTCCTAATCAGGAACTCATTTTATACGGACATGATAACAATGCAGCACAAATGCCTTGAATCGTTAACGCGAGTGAAATATAATGTGCGGTTCGGCCCTGAAATTCAGATTAGTTTCAAAATGTACTATGTTTCTCCTTGACCTTGAAAGCTTTGTTTTTAGATCACGGTCTTGCTGAAAACAAAGGCTTGGAATATTATGTCTCAAAGAGCAGTCACAATGATCTTATTATTAGCCTCCACTCAGCTAAATGAATTAATCCTGTCTCCACTCGCATCATGTCGCCAACAGTAATACAATTCAATTACCTTTATGGATAAAACTCAGGGGACTGAACCCACTTTAGCTCTGCTTTAAATGCAGCCAGAGGCATCGAGAGTGAGAAGTGAGAAGTGAGAGAACACTGATTGTTTACACGTGATGACATTCAGCTGATTTGGTCCCTGGGTTGTGCAATTTAAGTGAATTCCCCTCAGTCCAACCCTTTGTTAATGTTGATGTTAATGAATATAGAGTATGAAGCCCCTCACCTCACTGCGATGGCCCACCATGGTCTTGAAGCAGTGCTGTGTGTCCAGATCCCACCACTTCACAAAACTGTCCTTGGAGCTGCAGCAGAGCACACAGACACATACATACGGTTAGTGACACTGCTATCATCTTGTTATAAACAGTTAAAGGGACATTTTAACCCATTATTACAAATATATAAAGTCCCTGTAGTGCCACAACTGTTGCTCTTAAGGTTTTGAAATGAAAAAAAACAATTATATATAGATATATATATTATTTTATTAACAAAGGGCTATGCTATTTGGTTAATTCATATTGACTATTTATGTATTGAATTACACTTGAAACATGCTGTGTGCTATGGTGATATATATTGTTATCAATATATGAAATAACCTTTAACAGGGTAAAAGATTTTGGGCATATTGCCAAACACTAATTCTAGACATCCTGACACTTGAAGCATCAAATATTAATGTATAATACTTATCTTTGTTTTCCTTTTAACAAATAACATATGCGCAGGATCATCATTGAGGGCAATAATACATTGTTATTAGTGTGTTGTGTAAAGGCCCCAGTGTGTTACCTGGTGACCAGGATGTTCTTGTCTTTGAGGAACAAGGCCTCAGTGATGACGTCTTTGTGTCCTCTCAGCCTGTACAGCCCACACTCATTGATGATGTCCCACACGATCACATCTGTGTCCTGAGGAGGAGAAAGAGGTAAAACATGCTTAACACATGCTTTAAAATATACTTTAGCAAAAAAAAGAAACTCCTCCTTGCTTACCCTGGATCCAGTGACGAGCCGAGCCCCGAGTGAGTCGTAGTGCATGGCGCTGACGGCCGTCTTGTGGCCGTTGAAGGAGACGTTGCTCTCGCCGTTCAGCAGGCTGAAGATCCGCACAGCTCCGTCCTCGTAGCCCACGGCGAGATGGATGCCGTCGGGCGAGGCGCAGAGGAAGGTCACCTCGTGTTTCTGACCCTGCAGGATCAGGACCTGCACAGAAAGAGAGACGCTGGGTAAGATCTGCAAAACTTTTTCACAGGAGACCCAAACCTATTCTGTGATCATTCAAAACTTTTATATCATTCACCTTCTCTCCTTTCCGGACGTCCCAGATGAACACTTGTTCACATGCAGCCACGGCGACATAGCGCCCCTTCTCTCCTCCTCGGAGGGTCACATATGCGATGTTGGCTTTCTGGCTCCCGATGACTCCAAACACTGCGCTGGCCACATAGCGCAGGTACTGCTTGGTCAACCCCATGACCGGCAGCCTCTGGTAATTCTGAATACTGTTTACAACAACAAAGGAGATATTTTTAATTACTCACACTGTGAAAAATAAAACCGTAGTATTCCTTAACTACTCCCAAATAAATCTAAGGTTTCATTTTAGTTCCATGTAACCATATCCTACTTTGTTAAGAATTTACTCCAATATATTTATTTGACTGATGTATTTACGTTGCAGAGTTAGATTACTACAACAATATATTAATTTACCTATTCATTATGACACATTACTATTAATTAAGCTGCCCATCCGATTCAGGATATAAGGTAAATACAACGAGCTTCACATTTCCCAGCTACAACATTGAAGTGATGAAAACATGAAAGCACCAATTATTATTATGCAATAATTAAATTAATATCAAATGGGCATATGCATAATGAGTACTTTCAGTATTTAAGTACATTTTCATGCTGCTGCTGATACTTTTCTACCTTTACTTGAGTAAGGTTTTGAATGCAGGACTTTAACATGTACTTTTGACATGTAACACTGTGGTATTAGAACTTTTACTTGAGTTAAAGTTCCCAATTCTTCTTCCAACATTGATAATTAGGTATTGATTACACTATAACTATGTACAATGTGTCTGTGGTGGTCCAGATAGAGATACAGTGTTTTGTTCAATTGTTAGCTCCAATTTTGTCACTTTAATATTATTACAGGTATATTCCCGTTTTTATCTATCAATACATGCTTTTAAATAAGCGACAATGAACCTAAACGCTTACTTTTAGTAGCTTTATAGCTTGGTAAAGCACGCTAGTTTATTTAGTCAGAGGAGCGTTTGTTTTGAAACATAATACCCCGCGTGGTCGGAGTTAAGAGCTCCGGGAACGTAAATTGACTCAATACGCAGCAAACCCCGCTCGCCTAGAGACCGCTGTATTAAAAATCGAGTGCACCCAACCAGGACACACCGCTGCTTCCTGAACCCACGTGGAGAAGTTCCAGTGTTAACGTAGCTCCTAAAATCTGATATATCGTAGATTTATGTCTGCATATGTTTAACATGAAGTAAATATGTATAACTCAAACGTAACACATTTAAATATATATTTGTATTTCATTCTCTTACCTCTGAAATGCAGCTGCTAGCTTCACTTGTGTTTTTCTTCATGCAACGCTGATTCAGACCAAAGCAGTCGATCACAAACATCGATGCTGACAATATGAGCAAATGGACCAAATATATTCACACCATCAAATTAGTGGTTGAGAGAGTATTTGTCCTTTAATTAAGTAAAAAGTAATAATGAGACCCTCTAAAAAAACACTCTGTTACTGCTGCTTTTTCAATACCTGCTTTTTTTTTAAATGTTAACTTACTGTCTATGCACTATTATACACCAAAGAAAATTCCTTATATGTGGAAATCCAATTGACAATAAAGGGAATTATAATTATGATTGGGTTGTGATCAAAGTAAATGTCTATAGACAAACACGACAGTAAAAAAGGTGCATAACTATCTATATATGTTTGCTCTGTCATTTTCTCTCTGTTGCTTTTGTCTGCGCTGCTAGAACAAGCACACTTGACTTGCGAAATACTTCTAGGAAAATACATTTTGAAATAATGCTCGGATTTTATTGCACTAAACCAAGTTTTTGTTTATCTAGGTTTGCATCCAAGTTTATAAAAATACAGTGACTTCTCACAGGTACCATACACAACCACAGCGGAAGTGTTCTCCTCTTATTAGTCAGCTGATTAGAAGCTGGAGAACAGATGCGTCAAGTTAAAAAGAAACAACCAGAACAGTACCGGAAGTATACTTTTATGGACCCTACACAATAAACTACTCAATCAATCAATGTTTATTTATATAGCCCAATATCACAAATGTTACATTTGTCTCAGTGGACTTCACAGTTTGTACAGAATATCAGTATGACAATACGACACCCTCTGTCCTTAGACCCTCACATCGTACAAGGAAAAACTTCCAGAGAAAAACCCCACAGTTTAAATGGGAAAATGGGAGAAACCTCAGGGAGAGCAACAGAGGAGGGATCCCTCTCCCAGGACGGACAGACGTGCAATAGATGCCGTGTGTAAATCGAAAAGATAATACATTTACAACATAGGTAGACCAAATGTTTGGAAATGCATGTGTCTATAATAAGAAGATGAATCCACGAGGATGTCAACAATCCTGTGGGAGCCATCAGGGAAGTATATGATGAAAGTCAGAACATGACTACAGTAGAATCACAATGGGGAAAGAGCAGGGCAAAACAATTACATGAAACATACCCACAATAACAATTAAATGGACATTTGAAACCTACAGCAGGTAGGTAGGTAGGTAGGTAGAAATAGTGCAATAAGAGTCTATATGCAAGTTATTGGAATGATATATTAGATGAATAGATAAATAATTACTAAGTAGCAGATGAATGTTATGGATGTTGTTTCAACAGTTCAGGTGTTTAACAGAGTTTGCTTCAGCTGTTCAGGTCTTTAACAGTCTTATTGCCTGTGGGATGAAACTGTCCCTGAGTCTGGTGGTTTTAGTCCGGGTGCTGCGGTACCGCCTGCCAGACGGCAGCAGACAGAACAGTTTGTGGCTGGGGTGATGGGGGTCTTTTATTCTTCCTGAGCCGCTGGGAGTAAAAGTCCTCCATGGATGGCAGCTCTATCCTGGTGATGTGCTGTGCAGTTTTCACCACCCTCTGTAAAGCCTTACGATTGAGGGCGGTGCAGCTGCCGTACCAGGCCGTGATGCAGCCAGTCAGGATGCTCTCTATGGTGCACCTGTAGAAGTTGCAGAGTATCTTGGAGTCCCTATGAGATCGTAGTGAGTGAGTCGTTCACTCATCTTCCATTATCCTACTATATGTTTTCTCATAAGCAGGGCTACATCTTTCAATATAAGAAGCAGTTAACTCAAGTACAGCTTCTGTACAATTTGGAGGTACAGTAGGCCTACTTTTATTTCTACCTTCCACAATATGTTATTTTATATTTCACCACATTTTGAGACAAATATTGTATTAATTGTATTTTACATTAAGATTATGAATTCATATACTAATATGCGCAGTTATGTGATATGTTCTGGTTTGTTGTCTTATATTGCGTTTTTGAATTTGAATTAAATACTTCGTTGGACTCTTGTTCTGAAATGCTTAACCGGATGTTGTTGCGTTCACCTTATGTTACTTTGACGCTGCAGCAAGCACCTAGCATACAGGCTAAATGTTGAAAACTGGTAAATTGGCACTTTTTAAACCTAATGTTTTGACAATTCTTTCCATAACTCTGCTCGCTAGTATGAGGACACTCTGGAAAGACACTCGTTCTTGAGTTTACAAATAGTCGTGTCAAGATTTATGTGTTATTTATTTATTTTTTGGCGTGTACATCCCAGCTGCCTGGAGGAAATACAAGAGTAGAGGTGAGTAAACTGCTGCTCTTTGGTCCAGAGGCCAAAACACACTGATAATCGATTTTAAAGCAAATGTTCCTCTATGGGACTGTTGTAAATATGTTTAGAAAGATTTAACACAGTTCAGTTATTAGTGTAAAATCACATTTTTGACAGTAGCACGACTGTTTCCTTCTTGGTTTCTCACTGTCCTGCTTTATTTGGTTTAATTAATTATATGCAGCTGTCACAGAGCAGCAACCTAGAGGTTAATTAATCATAAGTATGTCGTGGTTGTCTTGAAGCCGACAGTGAAAGTACAACAAAGAAAAAACAGCATCTTTTTACAGGATTATTGCCACTTGTGTGTCGATTATTCTCTGTAAAATGATCTGAAACTGATTGAAAATCTATTTATGGTCATTTAAATTTGAGACATGCAGCAAATAATCCCAATTGATCAGCTTTGCGAGCTTTATTTCGATATTTGTGTATTGATAAATTATAGTCTAAATCCACATTTGTAATAGTATTCTGTAAATTGAATACTGATTACTGAACAGAGAGTTGGTTGTAGCATGCTCTTCATCTTATCTAATCTGCTGATAATGTTATTACATGCAGGCTTCTCAGTGGCTGCTCAAAAACTGTTATGTATGTCGCTGCTGTCAGACTAATGTTAAGTAGTTTGATCAGTGAGGTTTTCCAATAAAAAAGGCAGATTTTGTGCTGTCTTAAGTATCTCCAGATATGACCAATTTCCTTCTGACAAGGTCATGTATTCAGTATTCCCTTTATTCAGTTTTCTCGTCTTTAATGATTTGAAACAGCATGTGTTTAAAACTCCTTTAAACTGAAACAGACCTATTAAAGAAGTGTTCTTACTGTATGGCTTAAAGTTAAATACATATAAACACTTTTGTAAAAGCTGTTTATCAAGCACAACCACTAATTAAACCTATATGTACATGCTAAGATTTCAGTTTTTGGCCTCATGATTTCCTGCTTTTCTCTGTTTTATACGCATTAATCAGAATATCTTCTTGTATTTGGTTTTGGATTCTCAAAACAAGACATTCAAAGGCAACACCATGAGCTTTCTGACATTTCATAGAACAAAAAACAATAATCGATTAATCAGGAAGACAGTCAAGAGTTAATAAAAATAATAGTCAGTTACAGCCGTCAGATATGTAACTTGCACGTGTATTTTTGGGGGTTGCCAATTAAAATATCGAGGTGGATCAGGGTCTTTATATTATATATATATATATACAGTCTATGATCAGGATAGATGCTAGAAAAGAAAACACAAACTCAAATAACAACATGTTTTAGGCTGGAGCCACACGAGAACGGTAACGCAAACGAACCAAAATCGTTTTCAAAAAAGTCTTCCGTCCACACGCAATAGGCACCAGAAACGTGTCCTTCCACACGAGACCGCTCGACCCGCTGGAGACGCTGTAGTACATATGCCGGGCCTGTAAGTGGTGCTGTACTTCCGCCACAAAATACACCAAAAGCAGCGAAGAAGACTTCCGAGCATGGTTTCCATGGTTGCCCTTCTGTTTATTCTCCGCGGTGGATTCAGCAGCAGAGGTGGGGAGAGGCAGGGCTCTTTTTCTCCGTCAGCAGCAGCTGATCTCTCTCTCCTGTCCGATTAGATTTCACTCACGTTTATGTCCATATCGATCAGATCTAGCTAGTTCTAGCTAATGATATGACTGCCTGAGTGTCAAAGGTACGGTGGCCCTGAAGGGCAAGTCAAAACAACATTTCACAAAACACTACAGCATTTCAGAAAACACCACAGCATTTCACATTGGACGGAAAGGGTATTCCTTTAGGGAGAACTCTTCTTATTTGTGATTGGACAGAGCCAGCCAGAGAAGCACTGCTGTGATTGGTTGTTTGTTCTGCCAGTCAAGAAATTACGCTTCGTGATTGGTCAGCACCCAACATCAGCCGTTAGCTGTTAGCACTCAGAGCTCACAGCTCCTCATATCTGTTCAGAAACTGGACAAAAGTTAAACATGTACAAACCACAGACTGTCTGTGTCATGGCGAATACAGTCGCTGCTTTATTTATGTCTGTATGACGTTGTTGTGAGTGTGGACGGAGCAGCTACAGGTTAGTTTAGCCTGATCGATCCAGTATCCATTCAGAAAACAAGCATTTTAAAAGGTTTTTCGCCTGCCGTCTTGTCTGCAGACTTGTCACAGCATTAATTCATGGTTTTTACTGACCGGTATCAGTATGTAGTTACTTCGGCATCATTTTGAAACGTGTATTACAATTAAATCACGGTAAAATATGTTCATTTTGTTGTAGTTGGTATCTACCATAGGATTTACATGGAGATAAGCCCCGCCCCCTCTCCAGCACGTCTTGTTTGAATGACAGGAGTAAACACAGCTGACAGCCGCGGTGAAACTCGAGCGATTAGAGCGATGCGAATATTCAGGGTTTATCTCCATGTAAATACTATGGTAAACCACAGAATATTCGCATCACTCTAATCTGAATGGATATTGGATCGATCAGGCTAAACTAACCTGTAGCTGCTCCGTCCACACTTCATACAGACAGAAACAAAGCAGCGACTGTATTCGCCATGACACAGACAGTCTGTGGTTTGTACTTGTTTAACTTTTGTCCAGTTTCTGAACAGATATGAGGAGCTGTGAGCTCTGTGTGCTAACAGCTAACGGCTGATGTTTAGGGACATGTTGCGCTGTCGGGTGCTGACCAATCACGAAGCGTCATTTCTTGACTGGCAGCAAAACAACCAATCACAGCAGTGCTTCTCTGGCTGGCTCTGTCCAATCACAAACAAGAAGAGTTCTCCCTAAAGGAATACCCTTTCCGTATAAGTTGAAATGCTGTGGTGTTTAGTGAAATGCTGTGGTGTTTAGTGAAATGCTGTGGTGTTTTCTGAAATGCTGTGGTGTTTAGTGAAATGCTGTGGTGTTTTCTGAAATGCTGTGGTGTTTTCTGAAATGCTGTGGTGTTTAGTGAAATGCTGTGGTGTTTTCTGAAATGTTGTTTTGACTTGCACTTTCGGGCCACCGTACAAAGGACACCTAAACAATTAGCGACATTTTGACCGGAGAATTTTAGATTTCGGCTAACGGAAACTCTGCCGTGCGGGGGGGTCTGCTGGAGGCACCTGCTGGGTACACTGTCCTGCGATTGTTGTTGATGGTTGTGGTAGAGGAGCTGCAGATTTTGCACTAACATCTGTAGCATGGTCGAGCTGTAGATTTTGTACTAACATCTGTAGCATGGTCAGTAGCAGTAGCTACTGACAGTAGCTACTGACAGTAGCTACTGACCATGCTACAGCAGTGAGCAGCAGAGGTGGGGAGAGGCGGGGCTATGGCTTCATCTATCGGGAAATGATCGTATAGAGGCGATTACACGGAGCCGTTTGACCCCCCAGAGCGTTCCGTTTGCAGATCTATCCACCTTGGGACCCGTTATTGTTTGCGGGGTCCGTTTCTATCGTTTTGTTACGGCCTCTTGTGTAAATGAAAGGGCTATACGCAAGAGAAACTATGCGGATACAACCCATTTCGTTCCCGTGTAAATGGGGTCTTAGTAGGGCTGTGCGATTATGGCAAAAATCATAATCACGATTATTTTGGTCAATAATTGATATCACGATTATTAAATACGATTTATTCATTGACTTTGAAAACATCCATTTACTGAACTTTAAAACAAATACAAATAATAATTTGAACAGTATCTTTTTAACTGTTGATTTCCCTGAGCGTATAATTCAACTGAAAAACCAATACAAAAATAAATAAAATAAATGATACATTTATATCTACATTTAAATAAATAATGTCAAAATAATAAATACCAATAAACAAGCTCAACAAATATTTTGGAGCGCACTTCCACAAGCTACTAAACATATATAAATATGATGAATACAAATACATTTGATCAAATAAGTTGCAGTGCACTGTCACAACCTAGCAAAGCAAAATAATCGTTTTTTTCGATTATGTTGTTTTCGTAATTGTGGCAGGCCAAAATCGTAATTGCGATTAAAATACGATTAATTGCACAGCCCTAGGTCTTAGTGTCCCGCAGAGTCAGAGGCAGGGGCTTTATTTCCAAAGCAGCTATTTCACACCAACCTGCAACAATCCATCCAAAGAAGAGGAAGCAGAAAATAGACTAGCTCAGTCTGAGTGATTAAGGGACAACAGGCTGAAATGCATGCATCTAAATCAAATCACCGTAGTTTAATACACACAGAAATAATAATCTTTATCTCAATGAAGACATTTTTTGTTTTTGTTCAGTATTTGTATAAATAGCTGTTTTTTCAGCCAATGGATTTCTGAGAATACGAGATGCACATTTAATGAACTTAATTTTACCATCCCATTCATTCTAGGAGCACTGCTTTCACAGAGTGCTCGGTAGGAGTAATTGTATGAAGAAAAAAACCTTTGACAAGCTGAACCGGAATTAGACATCATGTGTACACTATTAGGAATCAAAAGATAAGTAGAACAAAGATAAGATGCTGATTGAATGCACATGCAAAAAGAGAGGACCATTCAGTACTGCTGTACGTCTTGATTGATAAGCAGAATAATTATCTGACGTATTCATGTTTATGTTGTTTCCAAGGAATTTTAATGTAGAGATTATCTATAGTAAACTACATAAAGCATGTCAGACTTGTGGATATAGCCTAAATCATCTTTGCTTATTTCACCATGTTTCCTTTTCAGACAAAGATTAGCACATGCATTTCCCCTCTGCAAAAAATGAAATTGAGATACACGGAGGTTAAGAGGAACAATTACACAATAACTCTTCCTCTCTAAATGTAGCTGAAATTTGAAATAAGTACTATATACAATTATTAATGTTGTGGCTTCCTTCCTTGTTTTTCTTTCAAGCCTTAACGTTTAAGGCGTCTAGTGGCTTGAAAGAAAAACAAAGCCTTAAAAATGTCTGTTTAATTAAGGCTTAAACAGACATTTCTAACTCGTTTTCTTTCCTTTATATTACTTACAGTTGAAGAGTTGCTTGGCCTCCGATGGTTTGAATGATGTTATGTGATGTGTTTGCCCAAAATAAAATAACAAACTTTTACACATGCAACAAAGAAAAGAGGCCTTTACAATATTCAAAACAAATAGGCAAAACTCAAATAAAATAACAAACAACTTAGGTATTCTTTCTTTCTTCATAAGGCTTATATAACTTCATAACTTAAAGGGTAAGTGGACAGTTAAAAACTGTTCCTCGATGGCGTCTTTCTAGCAGGTTGCCCATCACTGGGAATTGTAGTCTTTTATAGTGTGTTGACTACAGACGTCACAATTATGAGGCCTTTCTTATAAAAACAAAATACTGGCTCTAACAATTATCATCATTGCTTTTCATCTGAAAAAAAGGCAAATAATACAAATATTTGAGAAACTCAGACAAACATCACATTTTTTAATCCAGTAAGTTCCCCTCTCCCTGCTCTCAGCGTCAGCCCGTAAGGCAAGGCATGTCCCAATTTGGGATCAATAAAGTATCTATCTATCTATCTATCTATCTATCTATCTATCTATCTATCTATCTATCTATCTATCTATCTATCTATCTATCTATCTATCTATCTATCTATCTATCTATCAAGTTTATTTATATAGCACCTTTCGACACAAGGCAATTCAAAGTGCTTTACAAAAAGAAATGGATTGATCATTTATTCAGACTGGAATCTGCCACGCTGTCACTATGAAACCTGTTTTTTAATGACACGGTCACCTCAGAATCAGAAACAGGTTTATTACCAGGTAGGTTTACACGTACGAGGAATTTGACTTGATGTGATAGGACACCTCCTATCAGTCTTATATTTAGTGAGTTGTGCATGTGAGGATTTAAAACACCACCGTCAGGTCCTGTGGTTTACAACGTCTGTGTTGTTCAGCCCGTAGGTCCGCAGAGGGATGGATCCTCTGGGCGCTCGCTCCCAGTTCGTGGACCACCAGTCTCTCCCCACCTGGCAGCAGCAGCTGGAGGGGGGGAATGGAGAGGAGACGCCGCTGGACCCGAACGACAGCCTGCTGAGCCTGGAGTCCTTCCCCTCGCCCTTCCCCTTCAGACCCCACATCAACCGCAAAGTCATCCTGTTGTGAGTCAGCCTCCATTTCCTCACGTTGGGGCGAAAACCTAGCTATTATCAAATGGTCAGCTTTTTCAGGAACTCACAATGACAGACTCACTTCTTGTTTAAAGAAATGCAACTGGGCTGTTAATGCTGAAAGGAAATATTTTTTAAATGATTGCAACATGACCAGATAATACAGAAAAAAAATAGGCTGTTATTTTCTCTTGTACTCAAAAGGGAGAAATCCTATAACAACCACAATGCACTGGGCTCCTTACACCACGATCCACTCCTGCTGGCGGTGCTTAAGAACTCCTTAGTGGTTAGTTCATTGACTTTAATCTAAGTTTTAGGAGTATCCCAAAATGTCAGATTCTAGCGTTACATTATTTAACTCTTAGGCAAACAAAAAATGCGTAAGTCTGCATATTTTCAGGGTCATTCTGAGGTTTTTATCAGTTACTCTGGTGTACTCTTCCACATTATACTGTCTTTTAACTATGTTTGTAGATTGTGTTGTGAGCGTGAAATATAATTCCAGTAAGTGATGTCTTTTTCTTTTTCTTTAGTTATCATTTGGTTAAGTTTAATCTTCTGAGTGATAACTTGGCTGAGGGGACTTCTTGTAATGTTCAACTCTTGGCAGGCAGGGGCTTATTATTGTAACGGTGACACTGGAGTTGTTGTGTAGTCTTTTGACAAATTCATCAGGTTCAAAAAAGCTCTTTGTACTTTGTCGGGAAGCAGGACATTTGCAGACACACGGGTGGTTCTTTCAGTGTTTATTGTGACTCTAAACATGCATCACTGTCAGTTAGTCTTACAAGAGCTACGTCATAGAAAATACAGGAGCAGAAACACACACTCAGGTGGTATGCGCAGCAGTTTCAGGTCTGCAGTGTGTGTCTCCGCTCAGAGTTCAGAGCACCTCGTAAATCCTCTTGTTGGAGGAACACATGACCGTCCGCAGTTTGACTTGACACAGTTTCTTTGTGAGAGCCTCGTTGTTTCGGGAAAATTCCTGCAGCGCTAACGTGACCGCGGCTGCTCAAGCAGCGGCACCTTTTTAACTTGTGATCACTTCTCCACAGCTCATGAGCTCTCAACAGTCCTACCGTTTCAAGTTTCAAGGCTTTTATTGTCATTCGTCGATGAAAATCATAGGTCACAGGCTCCTCCAACAGTTCAACACAATAAAACAGATTAAATAGTGCAAGTAATACAAATAAAATAGAATGGAAATAGTGCAATCAGAGTCTATACCTGGTACCCTTGCTGCATTTCAATTCATTTAGGAGGGTGCATTGGTTTTAATGAGGACGTATTATACAGCACACATTCTATTATACAAACAATTCCTTTAATTTACTGTATTATTAAAACAATTGCTCCATGGAGTTGGCTTTATTAGTCTGTGAAATAATAATAATAGTAAATACATTTCACTGTGGTTGGTTGTAGATCTCACCTTTCACAACCAATGGCCACACTGCCAAATGTTACTTTCACTTTCAGCCATAGAAAGCTGTAGTCATGACATAAATACGTCAACAGTTCCCCAAGTTATTGCTTAAAAATGTGTGGCACTATTATTATTGTAATGTTTTTGACATAACACACCTCTTTTGACAAATATATGTATTGGGGTGTTGATTTCCCAACACCAGACAAATGCAAAATAATGAATACATAATCACAATGAAGCAGTTAACAGACACTATTTATAAGTAAATACATATAAATACTTAACAAAAATGGAAGATATAATTAGTCAATCATAATTAAATAACATTCATAAGTCAATAAGGTTTTCACATTGAGTTACAAAGTTGGTTAATATGACACACCTGTAATCATGACACTTATAAGCAGATTATTTTTGCTGAGGGTGGAGAGTGAGACAGGAATGTCTTTGTCTGCAGCTCGGTTTATATAAAGCTGTTTGTCGGGCTTATTATGAACTCGACGCCATTTAGCGTCAGTATTTGGAACCTCAGGAGTTACACAGATGGAGATACAAATAAATATAAAACAGCATGTTAAATTCTGAGGTCTGTTTCTTCAGTAAGTCAGGACTCAGTGTGACTCAATTTATTAACCTAAAAGCGATGATGTAGAAAAAAAAGCTCTTCCTCTTCTGTCCTGGAGGCTGAACTTGTCTTGTGACCAAATATCTTCAACACATGCTCGAGTAGTTCCTCATTGTTCTCTCCAACAAACACTGGAGGGCCTCACAGTGACGAATCTATTTAATAAAACAAGCTTTTTACTTTGGATTAATGTCCAAATGTTTATGGTTGTTTGGATGAATGTGTGCAGACCAATGGGTATACGTGTGATCACTCACTGTGTTGAGATAAAACAACTTGAATGACCTTTGTGCTGATATTTGGCGACACGGATGCTTTAAAGGTCTCCTATTATACTGTCTTTCATCAATATATTATAGGTCTCAGATATATACAGAACATGTCTCTGAAGTGTTTGGCTCCAAACACCAAACAGATCATTGCAGCATCCCATAATCCCCTCTGTCTCAGCCCTGTTTCAAAAGTGCTGATTCTCTGTCTGTTACTTTAGATGAAAATAAGGAGCCCCTCCCCACGCCCCTCTGAGAGATATTTGGTTAAAAAGAACACAATGGTGCTCTAGGAGGAGATTCAGGTGATAAGGTGGGGGGGGGGGGGGTTACCTTGGTTGGTGATTGGCTAATGGTTACTCAAGCCAAAACATCGTTATGACATCATAAAGTGGCCAAAATCTGATCAGCTCATTTTCAGACAGGTTTTTATATAAATGGATCAGGACAAAAAGAGAGAGGATGTTTGTTCCTGAAACTTTCAGAGTCTCTTTACACAGAGGGGACACATGTTGATGTAGAAGAGACATGAAGAAGAGGGGACACATGTTGATGTAGAAGAGACATGGAGAAGTGGATTTTGCATAATAGGTGACCTTTAACTGTTTTTGTTTCTCCCCAGCTGTGGTGATATCAGCCTGCTGAACTGCACGGCCATCGTGAACACCAGCAACGAGTCTCTGAACGATAACAACCCGGTGTCCGACAGCATCCATCGGCTGGCAGGAGCCGAGCTGAGAGACGACCTGCTCAAACTCAAAGGTAGAGAAAACATATTGGCTCCAACTTTGAAGATAAAGTTGTATTTCAGCTCGCCGGCTCAGTGCTGCTGCGGCTCAGGACATAAATCTCATTGGGAGACAACACAATCTAAATGTGGCTTCACTGGAGACACAACCAGGCACATGATGTTCAGCTGATTTTAGTTTAAAGGGGACCTATCATGCAAAATGCACTTTTGTACGTCTTTTATACATGAATATGTGTCCCCGGTGTTCCAGGGAACTCACCAAGTGTCAGAAAACACAACCCTCTCTATTTTCCTCCATACCCAAATCTCTAAAAAAGGGGCTGCAACGGATCTGATAAAAACTGATCCAGATTTGAACACTGTCCTGACGTCAGGACAGTGGCGCTACGGCTATTGGGCCAACTCCACCAATCAGGAGGAGACAGCCACGGCCATTGCCGTTCGAAAGCGCTGGAGACGCTGTAGTACATATGCCAGGCCTGTAGGTGGTGCTGTTCTCACAGAATCTGCCCTTGCTAAAACAGATCTAAAAAATGTCAAATATTTAGAAAAAAAAAAAGTATAAATATGCCTTATATAGGTATGGTCCTACACTATATTATTCAAATATAGCATGATAGGTCCACTTTAAATAATGAAATCTGTCATCGCTACAAAATATCATCTTTGAGAAATGCTCCACAGATGCTCTCGTAAATCAGAATCAATCAAAATCACAATACTTGGATTTTTTTTATTAACAAATGATAAATAAAATACTTCTAAATATGTATATAAACATAAGAAGTTAAAGCAAAAATGTGCGATGAAATATGTGACATAAAATAAAGAAATACAGAGTGAAGCTCTCGGATCACAAATTGAGACATGTGTCTAAAAACATTCAGAAATACGTATTGTCTTGATCTAAGCTTTTTATTTAAGCCGCCTGGTTTTATATTTAAAATACATATTTACAGTCATCACTTACCACTTACATTCTGTGAATTTAAATGACATGTCTATATACATGTGCTCGAGGAGATGTTTTTAAAGTTTCTGCTACCAAACAAATACAAACATGTGAAAGCAGTTCTGTTTCTGGTGGCCAAAGCATTCAAAGTTACATAATCACATTTCCAAAAACAACTCTAACTGTAGATCATTTCCAGGATTCACTGTGAACAACGTTAATCCGATCTACTTAGTACTGATGAAATCCTTAAAAGTCACACAAATAGGATTTTGTTATTTAACTGGAAAGAGCTGTTGCTGTAATCTCCAAAAATGTGTGGAAGTTTTTAAAGCCAAATATCTCATGGGTTTAGCTTTCAAAACTAAAAAGATCTCTCCGTGGCTCAATAACAAATATGTTCTTGTAATTTGAATAACGTTAACATTTTTAAAAGTTGAACATCCATACATGAAAATAAAATTGAATAAGAAAATAATACATGTTTTGATTTGTCAGACTTTCTGCCTAAATCCGCTTCATACTAAAGTGATTATAAATTAGTTTTATCTGCTTTCATTGATTTCTTTTTGTTAGAAAAATATCACTTGTCACCGGCTTGGTCTTCAATAATCAGGATCCATGTATTTCTGATCCTCTCAAGAATGGAAGTAGTCATCACATACAGAATAGCTTGTATATCAAAATTCTGACTTTTTCTAAAAATCTCAAAATACTGACTTTTTCTCAAAATTGAGATTTTTCTCAAAAGTCTGAATTTTTCTCAAAATCTCCAAATTCTGACTTTTCCTCCAAATTCTGATTTAAGAATCTCAAAATTCTGTCTTTTTCTAAGAATCAAAAAAATGTGACACTTTCTCAGAAATCTGATTTTTTTTTCTCAAATCTGATTTTTTCTCAAAAATCCTGACTTTTTCTCAAATGTTTTGACTTTTTCTCAAAATTCTAACTTTTTACTTAAAAATAATAATAATCCCTGGTCACCGGCTTGGTCTTCAATCTCAGGATCCATGTATTTCTGATCCTCTCCAGAATGGAAGTAGTCATCACACACAGAGCATCAACTAGTTCCTGAACAGTGTCCTTCACATGCTGATATCCAAGAGAGGGAGTTACACAGTCACAAGATGGAGGAATATAAAGCAGTATTCAATGTTTAGTTCAGATTAGCTCCACGTCAGAAATGATCATGCTTGTCATATGTCTATCTCCATAGAGGCTGAATCATCATGTTAATCACATAGCTATCATATGCCTAAAACAGTCCTGATGCTCTTCTAGGTAATCATACATCCTGTCATGTACACAGCTACGTAGGGCCTTTGCTATCATGTGCTACTCTGATATTGGAAGAGTACATTCAGTATTTTCCCAACACTTTTGCATGCATGTTTGTGTGCAGGATGTCGGACCGGCGAGGCGAAGCTGACTAAAGGCTTTAACCTGGCGGCGCGGTACATCGTCCACACGGTGGGACCAAAATATAAATCCAAGTACAGGACGGCGGCGGAGAGCTCTCTGTACAGCTGCTACAGAAACACGCTGCAGCTGGCTGCGTAAGAACCGTCTGAGACCAGTGTTCATGAATCAGAGTCATGAATAAACTCCCTTTCAACTGGGTTCAAAGCAGCGTGATACAGAAATGATACGAAATCAATTGAAGTTGTTGATTTTTAGATTTGAATGAATTCCCATCCGATATGATTTCGTTTTATAAACAGTATTGGTTCCTGATGGGTGCAACTAAACAATAATGTGATGAAAGACACTCACAGCTTCACAGTTTTTCGAAATACATTAATTTGAAAGACAGCAGGAATAAACAACTCGGTTTGGAAAGTTCAAACAGGAATGTTGCATCTGTCTTTGAGTGGATAATAAAATGAAGCCAAATATATGAACTCATTCAAGCTGTTACAGTGTAACAGGCGGTCATTTAGAAGTGAAGAATACATCATTTGCCTCAGACCGCACAATAAAAGCTTCTGAAGTTGGACGTTTTTCATGATTAAGGCTTTTCGGTTGATACGTCAGCTCTGAATGAAGCTTACATATTTGCATCAATGGGTTTTGAGAATTGTGAAAAGAAAAATAATAATAACTGTTTAATGTTAAATGTTTTATTTAATAACATTTTATTTTTTGGTTCGTATAAAAATATGTTGACCCTCAAAATGCCTGATAATGGTCATCTATTAACTGTGTGTGTGTGTGTGTGTGTGTGTGTGTTGTGTGTGGTGTGTGTGTGTGTGTGTGTGTGTGTGTGTGTGTGTGTGTGTGTGTGTGTGTGTGGTGTGTGTGTGTGTGTGTGTGTGTTGTGTGTGTGTGTGGTGTGTGTGTGTGTGGTGTGTGTGTGTGTGTGTGTGTGTGTTGTGTGTGTGTGTGTGTGTGTGTGTGTGTGTGTGTAGTGTTGTGTGTGTGTGTGTGTGTGTGTGTGTGTGTGTGTGTGTGTGTGTGTGTGTGTGTGTGTGTAGTGTGTTTGTAGTGGTGTGTGTGTGTGTGTGTGTGTGTGTGTGTGTGTGTGTGTGTGTGTGGTGTGTGTGGGTGTGGTGTGTGTGTGTGTGTGTGTTGTGTGTGTGGTGTGTGTGTGTGTGTGTGTGTGTGTGTGTGTGTGTGTGTGTGTGTGTGACCATTTACCCAGTCCCTAGTGTGTACTGTCAATGTGGTGTACAGTAAGTGAAGTTGTTCTTATTTTTGTTGTCGCCTTCAGAGAGCAGTCGATGGCATCTGTTGGTTTCTGTGTGGTGACAACGACCAAAAGAGGTTACCCACTGGAGGACGCTACACACATCGCTTTCAGTAAGACACACAAACACACACACACAGCTTTTCACCAGTTAGGCACAGAGAGATACACAAATCTCGTGGTTAAAAAAAGAGACATTATCACTGTCTTTTTTTTGACCCACTTACTCACAGATAATCTTCTTGGAAACCTTAACCTCGCTCCTCCAAAGACACATAGGACTCCAAAATGAGGTCAACAAATTATACAGGCAGACACACACATATTTAATTATAACACACACTGCAATTCTTTATGTCAACCTAAATGAGGTGTTCACTTTAAGCACACATGATGCCTGATAACATGATCATCTGATAAAGGAAACCTCCATCCATGTTACAGCAAACCTACTCATTACAGGTCCAATTACCTTAAACTGAACCTTGATGAGAGGACGCACTGCAGGACTGGAGTTTAACAAATACTACAAACAATTATTTATATGTGGTATTATTTTGGACAGTTTTAAAATGATTTTTGTTGGTCTATTGATGGGTTATGATGTATTTGATGAATGAATATACTGTCTAAATTATGTATTTTCTTGATGTATTTTCTTAACAGAAAGGTCAAGGTGTCGCGTTACGCTAATACTTAATACCACTAAAAGTGCAAAACATATTGAAAAATATGTTTAGAAACCTGCTATTCGGAGACATTTGGAACTTGTGACCGAGAAACATTTTAGACATTTTATAGTTGTGGATAGTAGATCTAGATTCCAGTGTCCTACAATCGTTATTTATATGGCATGTTTTAATATGTAAGTTAACGTGTGTGTGTGTGTGTGTGTGTATAGGAACTGTGCGCAGGTTCCTGGAGAATCATGGGAACAGCCTGGAGGCGGTGGTGTTCGCAGTGTCAGACACAGAGGAGGTAAGTGTGACTTTCCTCTGCACCGATTCCCCTAAACACAACCACAATAATCACAGAATGGGGAACTAAGAAGTGGAACATATCCATTCAACCTCAACAGAAATAAAATTCACCAAAACGAAATCACCAGCTCGAAATAATAATACATAATAAATAAAATGTGAAAATATTTAGGCTCCACACGCTTTTGTTCCTTTCTGTCTCTCCCTCTCTGCTGAGCAGCTGCTCAATCATTCTTCAGATGCAGACCATTAAGTCGGCAAAAGATATAAGAAAAACAGCCAAATGCATTTGCAATGTACTAAGCCAATTAAAGGGAGCCGATATATATTTGTGCAATCGCCCAACTTACTCATCAAACCATGTTTAAGGCTGTTGCTGGTGGCTGCACTTACACAGGATAAAAAGCTGAAAGAAATGATAGCCATTCACGTGGAGATAATGGAAAAAACATTTGGACTAAATTTCCTCTAAAGCATTCATGCTGTTTTTCTCATTGTCCAGATGAAGAGTGATAGAAACAGGGCGCTCGAAGTTCAAACCCTTTTGATATTCTCAGCTTTAAACACCTAGCCAATCCCTGTATACACGGAAAGAGCTGAAAGTGCCTGGTTTTGGAGAGTTACAGAAAATGTGGCACGAGGTGGTTCAGACACTCGTCCATCATCTGTCAGGCCCTGGAAGCATACTGACACCTTTCATGTGTCTCAAAGCTCGATCAGAGAGTTGGATGCTGGGTTTCTTGTTCTGTAGTAGATTTGCCGATACCATATTCCCTGCGGTGGCTATTCTCACGGACCCTCGTAACCACAGCTAGATCCCTCGATATTGAAATCCATCTTCCACGTTAGGTAACACATGTGTCCAAACATGGAGGATGAAGGTGAAATTGTAAATACAGAGCTGTAGGAGGATGAGGAATACATCTGGTAACATGGACGACTTTGTCCTGAAGATGAAGTGTATATTTGTGGGCATTTCTGTTAATACTTTTGTTTGTGTGTTCTTTTAGCCGGTGTACAAGAAGTTGATGCCTCTGTACTTCCCTCGCTCTGAGGAAGAGGAGCGGGCCAGCCTTCCTCTCATCCCCTCTGACATCGGCAACTCTGAGGGGGAACCCGTCATCCCCGAGAGACAGATCCGCATCGCAGAGAAACCCGGCACCCTGGAAGGTAAAGAAACATGCTTCATCAGAGAGGACGTGTAATGTGATTGGCTCTCATGTCTGACATCTATTTATACGAGGAGACGTCTTTTTTTTATTCAAGGGGTTGATGTTTAATTTTGGAATCAAAGTTCTCTCGTGTGTCAGAGAAATTGAGTTAGCAGAATAAACACAGGCGTAATTTAGCCAGTGAACCAATCAGAGCAGACTGGGCTCTGGTTTCAGACAGAGGGTGAAAAGAGGCAGTATGAGACAAATAAAGAGCTTTTTGAACATTAAATTGTGTCACAGTAGAAGATGCACAAAATACAAATATGAACCTAAAAATGAACACAGGGTTGACGCAGTGTTTTGGATCAAGAGTTAACCAAAGAATCAGTCATTCAACTATTTAACTATCTACCTTTTTAACCATACTGTAAGTCAGTCTGTCAGCTGTCAATACACCGCACAGTCAGTCGACCATTTAGGCAACCAGTCAGTGGACATTGGATGAGGTCACAGTCGATTAGTCAAAAATAAAATCCAAATATTAAGATCTGGATTGAGTTCTGATAAGGACAATGTGTTTGAATCACAGACTGGTCAGAGTTCAGTCAAAGGACGTGAAAGAGCAGGACATTGTTTTGCAACGGTCAGTGAAACATCTGGAGCACTTCAGGTTTTCCACTGAGGCTCATCTGCATATCACAAAGAGACCGGCAGGCCTGACTAACACGGATCAGGTGTTTGTTCTGCATCGCTATCCTTCTGCTCTTTGTTTATTCAGCAACACGAGCAGTGATTTTGTTTGTCTGAAAACAGAAATAAATGGTAACGGATGAAACCAAGTGAATAAATAAGTGAGCTTTTAATTAAAGTGCCTGGAAATATGTGAATGAATATAGCATCAAACTGCTTAAAGTGAAAAGTGACAAAGGATTTTAGGGTGATTTAAACAAGACAGTTGTTGTTTTTGATGATGTTTTAGGAAAAGTTGTTAAAATATTAATAAATAAATAAAATCTTAAAAAGAGCAGTAAGGCTAGAGCTGTTGTTCGCAGCCTTTTGAGGTGTTTTTCCTTTTTAAATCTACTAGCTTAACTAAACGGTAGACGCAAAACATTATGACTATAGGCACCTTCAGTTCTAATCCCTTTTTACGGTCTTAAAGGTAGGGTAGGTAAGAATGGAGAAACCAGCTCGAGTGCGCTAGAATTTGAAAGTACGCAGCCGGAAAAAATCTGCCCCTTCCTTCAGACTTCCTTACAGAGCCCCTCCTCCAACACACACGAACGCTCACATGACCAATGAGGGCACGAGATAAGTTTGTGCACGAGATGGAAGGCTGACAGGCAGGTAGGCCATCCAGTTATTTTAGCCGGGCCGGCTCAGATGATTGGTCGTGCTTTTTACAGCGCTACGGCTTCCACAGATGAAATATTTGTATGTATTTATTGTCAAAGCATTTAATATATTCATTGCTATCGGGATGTTAAGAGCATTCCATGGAATATAACAAAAAGGGTTTCTGAAGTGAATTACCTACCCTACCTTTAAGCACTTTTATAAACTGTATTTTGTATGACCTCTTCAGTTGACCAACCTCAGCTTTTTCTTGATCCGTCTAAATGTTGTTTCTTTGGGGTGAAAAGGGTTTTAAATGTAACACCAGGCCATGTTTTAGTGGGTGTTTGTGGTGTCTGCGTGGAGCCTGTTGCCCTCATAGACCTCCAGTGCGAACGTCTGCTGGCGTGACGCTTCAAATGTGGTGAGATGTGGTTTTGGGGTGACGATCCAAAGCAAGCAGCTGCCTGTGAGTCAAACCCAACAACAACAGGCTGATGTAAACACACTGACAGACACACTGACAGACACACATGCCTATTTGGATGCAGATGAAATGCATGGACATGTGCATGACTGTACATGTGGTTTTAGAAAAGCAAGCAGAAACAGACAGTCTTTGAGTCTATGACCTCAAAGTTTTTACAAAGTCATGCTTTCAGATACGTTACGATCATAGAAAAAACATATTTGTGCTTGGCACATAATAAAATATTATATAATTGCACTTCTGTATGTAGCATTTGGCTTTTTTTAAGCAAGTGCAGTAGTTTTTAGATTAGTTTGACCTGCCGGATTCTCTATTTTAGGTAGTTTGTACCTTCATGGTTGAATGCAATGAATATAAGTCGCTTTGGATAAAAGCATCAGCTAAATGAATGGCAATACAGACAATACAAAGCAAACAAGTATACCCAAATAAATGAATAAGTCAGCTTTACAACTCAACACAAATTCAAGCACACAGTAGATCTCTTTGGGGTAAATAGTCTCACATTAAATGAAGATAATTGAGTGGTGGTGTTAAATGATAAACTGGCATCTTAGGGTTTAATATGTGTGAGTGTGTGTTCCTTGTGTTTGATGAATTATGCTGCAATATAAGCCTCTGACATTATCATAACACACCGGGGCACCGAGCCTTCGCAGCAGCTGGCCCGAGGCTCTGGAACACTCTGCCCCTCCATGTGAGGTCGGCCCAGACCCTAGGGGTTTTTAAATCTACTCTTAAGACACACTTCTTCTCCCTGGCCTTTTAGTCAGAGCGGAGCACGACTCCTGACTTTTCCCTGTGTTTTAAATATCTGTTGTAATTTATTGTCTTTTATTGTGATTATAGAAATGTGTTTTTATGTGATTGTAGTTATTACATGTACAGCACTTTGGCCCGACCAAACATTTTGTGCAGATGATTCAGAAGAGGAGAGTCTGGAGTCAGACCTGGGTCAGGTGGGGACTCACGCTTTCGCCCGGATGGAGGGGGACGTGGACAAACAGAGGAAACAGATCCTTCAGGGCCAGATGTCGGACGTGGCCCTGCAGAAACAGCACCAGAGAAAGTAAGAGTCATAAACACAAATCTTAAATAATTGGAACCTACTGTGTCGAAAACGCAACATCTTATATAATAACATGCGTCTCTCCAGGTCTCAGTTGTGTTCAGTTTAGGTGTGTCTCACGAAAACTAGCATTTGTGATGTTATACAATACATTAAGATCCCTTCTCTGTGTGTTCCTCACCTGCAGTTACAACCGCTGGCTGTGTCGGGCGAGAGCGGAGGATCTGTCTGACATCGCTGCTCTGAAAGCTTTATATCAAACCGGTATGTGATCATGTGTTTGAGGGGCAGGGAGAGAGAAAAGTTGTGAGTTGAAACCTTAATTTTGGAAACAGAACGGAAGCAAAAGGAGATGTTTAGACTTGTGTATTTTGTGCCAGACTGCCTGCATGTGTGTTCGTGTGCATGTTGGTGTTTTGATTTTATTCCACTTCATTGAACACGACACTGGTGAGGTACGATTATCCCAGATTTAATTCCAGTGAATGAAATGCAACATCTCCCTTTGCTCAGCTGTTATCAGGTGCAGTTACATCTCATTGCCAGTAGGAGGCAGTGTTGTATTACAGTTTTGCCCCAACGCCATCTGTTTTGGTTTCAAGGCATTTTAAAACTTGCATTACCTTGTGGAACCAGTTTTCTTAAAACAGGGACATGTGTAAACCCCAAATGAACTGGATAATCCCATATTTATCTGGTTAAATCTTAACAATACTTTAGAAAAAGAAAATGAATGATCCAGAGAGCTCTGGAGTTCAGACAAGTGTTACGAGGATGTTGTTTGGTGAAGAATGTAAGGTTCACAAAGAAAACATTGCAAATATAACTCTTTACGTTATAAAACCTAGACACCGCTTACATTAAAGGATAAAATGAAGCTTAACTTTGTTTTCTGAACTATACTTAATTGAAAGTAAATGTCATGAAACAAGCAATCAATATATAAACTATATATTCAGACAAACAAACCAACACAATTACACCAAACTGAAGAATAACTTGTTGGTGGAGGTAAAAACAGTAACACACTGACACTACACATAAAATGAATGTTTAAACAAAACACAGCCCTCGGAAGAAACTCAAATGCACCACATAGTTCAAACACAACATCAAGGCCCTCATCAGAGACACATGTGATCAGGCTGCTGCAGATCCTCAGTTTCCAGAGAGCTGTTGTCACTTTCTCTGAGGGGACAGGCTTTCATTTGAGAGGAGAGGCAGGAAACCAAGAGCTGGAGAGGCAGAGTGAGCTCCAAGCTCTTTTCTCAGAAGTTTTACAGCCTGTCGAAAGGACTTGACTATTAATAATATTACTAATATCAGGAAATACACTAAAAACTGAGATCATGAGGAACTGTGTCATCACGTCATGGAAAATGAAAAGATGCTGTAACTAATTGTTACTTTGTATTTTGTCTTACACACATCAGAAAATGTGCAACACAATTTTACAATGACATGTTCAAGTTTTTGTTTTGGGCAGATGGTTGGACAAAATGTAAAACTGTTGCGTGTGTGTGTGACCTGTTGATATTGTGTGTCCTCAGGGGTGGACTTGTGTGGCCGGACGGTGATGATTCTGGTTGGACGAAACATCCCGGTGACTCTGATCGACATCGAAAAGGTGACGTGTGTGTGTGTGTGTGTGTGTGTGTGTGTGTGTGTGTGTGTGTGTGTGTGTGTGTGTGTGTGTGTGTGTGTGTGTGTGTGTGTGTGTGTGTGTGTGTGATGTGTGTAGTGTGTGTGTGTGTGTGTGTGCTGTGTGTGTGTGTGTGTGTGTGTGTGTGTGTGTGTGTGTGTGTGTGTGTGTGTGTGTGTGTGTGTGTGTGTGTGTGTGTGTGTGTGTGTGTGTGTGTGTGTGTGTGTGTGTGTGTGTGTGTGTGTGTGTGTGTGTGTGTGTGTGTGTGTGTGTGTGTGTGTGTGTGTGTGTGTGTGTGTGGTGTGTGTGTGGTGTGTGTGTGTGTGTGTTGTGTGTGTGTGTGTGTGTGGTGTGTGTGTGTGTGTGTGTGTGTGTGTGTGTGTGTGTGTGTGTGTGTGTGTGAATTTTTTTTTTCCAAACTTCTTTTATGATACCTTAACATTAACCTCCATCTTCCAAAAATAGTATTACTTGAACCAAAATAAACTAAAAACGAATTATTCAACAAATATGGAAATTACCAAAAAGCATGATTCTGCTTTTTGGTAATTTCCATATTATTGCCACACAAGTCTACCCCTGAGGACACACACGATATCAACAGATCAGACACACACTCAAACACACACATTGTACATTATAAAATGAATATTGATATAAAACTCTGAAAGAATGTGTATAAACTTGTATAGAATCCACTGCTATAAGCGTGTTTGCACCTTATTAGTCTGTAACTGATTCACTGTGTGTGTGTGCAGGCGCTGCTGTACTTCATCCACGTGATGGACCACATCACAGTGAAGGAGTATGTGATGGTTTACTTCCACACGCTAACCGGAGAGCACAACCACCTCGACTCAGAGTTCCTCAAGAACCTCTACGACATCGTGGACGCCAAGTCAGTATAACACTCTAAACTCTTGAGTTCAACTGTGCTACAACTCCTAAATGGGTTCATAAATGGGACAAAAAGTCAGATGACCATGAGCATCTAATACACGGGCAACATTTTGTACTAATATTTTTACATTTTGCAGTTATTTGACTTGGTTTCTTTGATCAAAAGCACAACATGTGTGTTAAATATGATCACTTAAAACAGATCTATTTATATCTGACATTGATTAAGTCTCTCAGGTTTGTCTCATCCCTCTGCCACACACACAATGGTTGAATAAGAAAACGCCACGACTTTAATGATCTGTGTTGTATTTTCTGGGTTTGCAGTCATTTGCTCTGCTGGACAGCGCCAACATCTCCAGTATTGAATTGCCAGAGAGTTGCATATCAAACATAAATCTTGAAGAGTTTTTCTTTTAAAAAGTCATAAGAAAATTCTCAGGAACAGATGGAACAGAATCTGACGGCTCTGAAAGCTCTCGGGCGTTTTCTGTTGTCAATTGTCTGCTTATTGTAATACGACATTAAGTCTGGGCAGGTGCAATAATCTTTAATATCACAGTACATACTTTTAGTCGTTCATGATGAATGTATTGTGAGGCTTTGGCTGCTATTTGACCCTGGTTTGTCTTTCTTCTGGCGCTTCTCTTTTCTCCTGAATTCTGCAGCTGCATTCAAGTTCAGATACATTGTTCCTGCTGCAGCATCGCACCGCCAAGGTTACACTGTTTATACTTTTGGAAAAGCAAAACGGGCTTGTTTCACTGCGGGTTTTGGAAATCTGGCGGCCATATTTGGAACAGGAAACACAAAGTTGGAGCGTGTTCTTGGGGTGATGTATCGGCTGTGACTCGGCCTTAATGACAGGGTTCAACGTTTTAAAAGACTATGTTTGTAATGAGCTTGCTTTGAGTAGACGGCTCATAGGAATCCCTTGACTAAATAACTTTTAGACATTATATTTGTTTAAGAACGGGTCTCCAGGAGCTGATCAAAAAAAATAAAACTCCTGAAGAAAAGTGATAAGATTTAGAGATGAAATGTCCGGAGGGAACGTGTTCTGCAGGAGTTTCAGTAGAAATAAAGAAATGTGTATAAATATAGACAATAAAGATTAATTTATAAAGTGCTAAAACCAAATGTACCTAGTGCCAGGAAAGTAAACGAGGTAACAGGAAGGTGCAATCTAATTTAAAGTACACAGAAAAATAAAGAAGTACTGTCTTTAAATGGATCTAAATCAGATACAGACAAGCTATCTTATTCTAGATCAGTACACGATACAGCCAGTGTCACATATTTGAAGGCAAACTTGAAAAATAATCCTACTTATCTTCACATCAACATATGAATGGCAATCTGTCAGCCATGCTGTGTCAAACACCAGCCAGATGCAGCGCAGCATTCAGACCTGGACCTGAATCATCTGAACTTCAAAGATTGTTTGTATTATTTGTATTCCAGATACAGACTATGCTAACTATCACAAACACATCGACACACTAAATACTCTACACATGTAGTCAGATGTTGTATTAGTACCAGGCCAGCTTAAAAAGGCATCAAATTGTTTGCAGCCTTCAGTGAGTTCCACTTATCAAGCTTAAGAAGAGACAAATCCTGGAAATAATCAAATAAAGAATAGTTTATTGAGTTACCCAGCCATCAGAGTTGGCCAACATGTTTTATATGGTCTAGCATAGTATGTTCTTCAACACGTCCTATAATTGTTTAAAGGTCCCATGTCATGCTTTTCCGGTTATTATCCGTCCCCTTGTGTGTTATGAAGGGTTAGGGTTAGGGTTACGGGCCGTCTCCACGGCAGCGTTAAAAAATCTTGAAACGCTTCTGCCCATTCACTTTGAATGGGGTGACGTCACTTTTTTTTCGCTTTCGCCGAAATGCATTGTGGGCAGGCGAGCGGAGATTCTCAGGATTTTCAAGATCCAAAGTTGAACAATGTTCAACTTTTGAGGCTGAGGTGGAAGCGTCAGCCAATCAAATCCCGTGTACGCAAATCTGACAGTTCAAGCTCTAGCCAATCAAACGGCGTGTATGCTGGGAGAGAAATACCGCAGGTCATTTCCTCATATTCCAAAAAATGGAGGAGAAATTAGCGGTAGCGAATCAATCACCCGGTGCTTTATGACCAGACCTACCGGGATATAAACCGGAGGAGCCAGGCATGGAGGGAGGTGGCAGAGACAGTGGTAGGTTTTCGCCTGTTTTGGGGAGTTTATATCCAGTTTACTTCGGGCTTTTTTGCTTCGTATGTCGCGGGCGGGAGATTCATGTGATTGGTTGCTCGCAAAAAATCCTCAAGCTTCAGATACGCCCACCTCCAAGATTTTTTTAACGCTGCCGTGGAGACGGCCCGTTAGGGTTATGTTAGGCTGCATGTAAACGGTCTGCAGAGTCACAAACCCTCAAAGTACACCCTGTAGCGAGTAAAACTCTAACACAGAAAAGACCTGTCTATGCTGCCCCAGAACGCCTCGTTGGAGATTTCTCTTTTTCCATTTGTTTCTACCAAAATGGACCAATCCGCGGAGCTCCTCACACACCAGGACCTTTAGCGTACATTTTCAACTAACAGGGAGTCCCATTGACTTGCATATGAGCTCCCTGGTTGGAGAAATGCTCTCCACAGACCCATTCTCACAGCGTTTATAAACCTTTTTCTTACTCGATATCAAGCCACACTTATTGTTTTTACTTCGGCTGTGAGTGTTTGTGTGTGTGCTCAGGATGAATTCCGCGCTGTCTCGCCGACCCGGAAACCACACCAGTAAGCCAGCTCACTGAGCAGCGAGCCTCGCAACGTCCCGACCAATCAGAGCACACTGGGCTCACAGGGAGCAGGGGGGGGGCAGGAGCTCCAACAAGCCGTGTAGGACAGAGAGTGAATACACATACTTTACAGAGATGCTGTATGAGAAACCAATGTGAGTTTGGAAAATTGCACAATGTAAATCTATTCTAGTAGACCTCAACAATGGAAATATGATCAGTAGAAATGGCCATGACATGGGACCTTTAAAGGTATGTGATAGACTTGGGCTGAATTTAAGGAAAAATGCATTTCAAATGATGTCATTCTTGTTTGTCATAATGGGCAGGAAACACATGCAGATAGGTAAGAAGACTGGCTGAAAGAAAAGCCCCAGGTCAGTGTTATTTGGAAGAGAAAACTAAAGTGAGTTATTACCCGAACAGTCATACAAATAAAGATCTGCTTTGTACATCTTGGGATTATAAATGTGACTCAAAAGTGCTCTCAACTGTATATGCTTTTAGGAAAAGATCAAAAATATAAACAGGACTCATTCGACTAAAAAGAAAAAATAAGTTCAAACATTTCCTAAAAGATCTTGGAACAGACTTTACTCAAACAAGAGGATGTACTTTTTGATGGACAAGTTGCAATTATTTAAACATTTTGTATTTTCTTACTTGGAAACCTCTTAAAAAGAAACTCCGGTGCTCAATTGTTTGATTCATAGTATCTTTCTGGTCTCTGGAAACCCACAACCGAACAAGCTTCCTGTGTGAGAGGGAAACTCCATGCAGTCATGTTGCACCTTTTACACCCCCGTGTTTCTCTCTTCATTTCTTTCTGAGACTGGCCCCTCATTATGTTTCGTCACACCTTTTACTAAACCTTTTTCTGTCTGGAACATTCAGTCAATTACGCCCTTAGGACTTTAACATTTACAAACATAATTCCTCATGTTTGATCTTTACTTTAGTCATTTGTCACCCAATGGCTAAAAGGAGTCATTTGTGAGTTACTTCAGTCACACAGCAGAGAACTAAGAAAGCCAAAGAAAAGATGGTAAAATATGAGTGAAGATGCTGTATTCAGCTTCCTGTTTCTTTAGTAAAGGGAAACCACATTCAGCCATAGAGGTTAACCATGACTCCTTTAATACACGCTGCTGATTCACAGAGAGCTGCAGCTTTAATGCTAATCACCTTTTAATGTCAAGTCCCACAAACTCTCTGCAAACATTAGCATTTCATGTGAACTTGTTATAAGAAGAGAGACTTGTTAGACTTTAATTAGGTGTGTTGAAAGCCAGATGTCTTTTATTGAATGTGTGCAGCTTTTGAATTGGATATTGGATCCTGGTTGGCTCCCGTTTCCTCTGAAATGTTTGACATCGGTAGCTCTCCATGATTCAGTGAGCAACAAAAATGTGTTATCAGCTTTTCTGGGGGGTCGTTGGACACTCCCGTTCAAAAGTTATTGCGAGCAACAAAAGCCTAATTGGGTTCAGACGACACGACAAATCTATATATATAAAAAAGCAATATTTCTGCTTGCTTTAAAGGTCACCTATTGTACAAAGTCCACTTGTTCATGTCTCTTCTACATCAACATGTGTCCCCTCTGTGTAAAGAGACTCTGAAAGTTTCATGAAAAAAGATTCTCTCTCTTTTTGTCCTGATCCATTTATATAAAAACCTGTCTGAAAATGAGCTGATCAGATTTTGGCCACTTTATGATGTCATAACAATATTTTGGCTTGTGTAACTATTAGCCAATCACCAACCAAGGTAACCCCCCCCCCCCACCTTATCACCTGAATCTCCTCCTAGAGCACCATTGTGTTCTTTTTAACCAAATATCTCTCATACCTCATTCACACCAACGGTGTTTCAGGGCCGGTTCGGAGCTGGAGCTTGAAAAGCACCGGGTTTTCCTGTTCACACCGCTGCGGAGCAGTCTCTTAGCCTCTTAGCTCCGGAATCCGGTTCGATTCAAGCACCAAAAAATTGCAAAAGCACGGCATACGTCACGCTTACGTCGAGGCGGGGCAGGGGCATTACACATGAACTCCTGAACAACAACAAAAAGCCCGCGTTTTATCCAGTTTGTACACAACGATGGAGAAACTTAACAAGCAGCAGTGGTCCACTGAAGAGACCAGCAACCTACTGGGAATCTGGTCTTCCGAAGAGGTACAGAGGAAGCTGGAGCACAATCGGCCATTG